CCCCCCCCCCCCCCCCGAACGGGTCCAAATAAAGATTCGTTTACGTTTCTGAAATGAGACAGTCAAGACAAATTTTGTGGTGTGATCAAATAATTTTTCTAAAGACTTATTTTTCCCAATCCAAGTCCGAGTTAATAATTAATTAATTAAATTAATGAATTCTAATAGACCGGATCGCAGGGCGTTACACGGTCACAAAATGGTCATTGCCAAAGTACTCAAAAACAGAGAAAATCGATTGTTTGAAAAATGTGATCAGTCACATTTTTTAGGTAACATGACCGCTCACAAAAACAAGGTGGGAGAGTCGCGCAAACTTTCAAATATTGCACCATCATGCAAAATTGACCAGCCATGGACACCGGATGACATGTCACTTTTTGACCTAGCGTGCTCCTTATTGTTCTTTCAAAAAGTGACCAGTCCTATCTATGAGAGGTTGACAAGGTGAAATGCATGCCCTACCATTACCAGAAATTCAACTACTACTTGCCCTATAGACAATACGGAGAGGAGGACAGTAAGTCAAGTGTACCAAGAGACAAAATTTAGCTTGCTAGAAAATGCCCAAGGGATTAAAAGTCAGATCATACTAAAGGCACCAGGCATACTCTTAGCCTTGAAAATTGGAAATATACTAGCTTAACCCTACAGCTAAAGGGAAAGGATGGATCGGTTCCTTAAGATAAGGAAGAGGAAGCTTCTAAGGCACTAGCTCAAATGAAGGATCTTTCTTCTACATGACCTTGTACATACCGTATCTTTTAAACTTCTGGTCTTTTTGGAATCCAAAGGATCCCATGGAACTGATCATCATCTTCCCATCGGGCTCCTTAAAAAGAATTTGGAAGAAGTCCTTGGTTCCCTCAGAGGTAGCAACAATAACCCGGGATGTTTCAGCATACTGGTTGCTGACCCATTCTGCGGCTTTGGTCGGAAAAGCTACCTCTTTGGCCTAGGAATCGGCTTCTAATTCCCTCATCTCCTCTTCCTTTTGAGCCAAGGCATCCTTCAGCTGTTCAATCTTCTTCAAGTAGAGATTCTTCTCTTCCTCAAAATGACCAGTCACCCTATTTCAACATGTTATTTTCTTCAGTCATCTATTCCAAGTACTTCTTGACCTCACCAGCCTCCTTCTCATGCTCCCAGATTTCAGTTGGAGCAGCATCTAACATCTCTTGGAGATGATCTGTTTGGTCCTCTCGGGTGTCGGAGCAGCATCTAACATCTCTTGGAGATGATCTGGTAGGTCCTCTTGGGTGCCCAAGACCCATTTGGAAAAATCCTCAGAGAAATGCCTCGCTTACAAGAAGAGAAGATTAGTAAAAATTAAAAAATGATATCACAATGAAGGATGGGTCGTACCCCGTACAACTTGTGGCCCATGGCCATGTAGAGCTATTAGGAACACATGGCCGTGAATTTTGGATCAAGGTACTTGGGATCCCCCTTTCATTTCTTAGAATGAGAATTAGAACTCTTACAGGAGTCCCTCTTCCTCTTCTCCTTTTCTATCGGGACTTTCCCCGTGACGGCCGTTGGGATCCCTTCATTGCTGTTTTTCTCAAGATGACCGGCTTCCCGACTATGAATGTTATCCAGGGAAGATTTCGGGCATTGCTCCTCACCAAAAAGACTTCGCGCACCTCCTGGTGGT